GGCCGGTGTGTAAGGCTGACAACCTCACCGCCATCGATGATCCGATTTTCTAGAAAATGTGGGAGCCTTAATGTCTCACAACCATATGGGCCTCCACGGTCTGTTACAGGGATAGCTTGGCGCATAAGGCTGACAACCTCACCGCCAACTGTGAGCCGATTGTCTGGAAAATATGGGAGCATCGACGTCTCACAATCCTATGGACCTCCACGGTCTGTTACAGGGATAACTTTACTTTTTCTTTTTTACTGTATAGTGTCTTGGTGTGTAATGAGTGTCACTCATGAAGAATGCCATCTTCTGGGATGTGGCACTGTATAGATATTGTGTAAACCGATGTTTTAGAGGAGCGTATCGCCTCCATCTTCAGGGTATAGAAATCCACAAGCGAGGAAGTAGCATGAGCAGGTGGCAGCAATTTAAGTCACCTAAGTTGTCCTGTAGCTGTCAAGTCTTCTCCGCAGCAGGCCAAATTGAGGGCATTCTTTGGATGGAATGCAAGAGGTGTACATGCATTCAACGTTACTAGAAAGTGTTGTGCTTTTACACTCCGACATCTGTAGCAGATCATGCAGCTTACATACATACTGTGTACAATACAACGCCAGTGGTTTCATGTGTTTGTAACGTGCCTCTGATGATGGTTTCTTTTGAACCGAAACATGTAAGGCGAGTGAAATAAATAAGTGACCTAAGAACGTTGTTACACTCGACGGATTATTCATTGACATTTTAGTTATCGTTACATGTCCATGATTCCACATAGCAGATAGATATCCATCCACACTTTTTGTGCATTCATTTTCTGCTGACTACAAACATACACAGTAGCTTCAGTCTCGGGACAGAAGCGAATACTGCAACTTTGTGGCAAGTCAGATGGAGCCTCCTCATAAAACACACAACATATTTGTTCAATTGTTATTATGCTAGTAGACGTAGACACAGACCATGGGTTGGAAATTGGGAGAAACTGATGACTTCAAGCAGCAGACTAACTTAAAATTTGGCCAGCTGTTAGGATAATCAGTGACAGGAGCTGCAGATATTACAGAATGTCTAAGGGCAAACACTGTGCCCCATCTGAAGGAGATTAATTCTTCTTATTTTTGTTTCCAGTTGATGAAACAGATGAGCTCAACAGACACCCAGTTCGAACGCTTAGCCTCTTGCAGCAGAAGCAGAAAGAAATGCAGTCTCCATTCATGGTCCTTAGTGGCATTAAACAAACATGAGTATGCTTTTTTCCTGCATTCATTGAAAAGAACAACCAGTTCTAATTAAAAAAAAAACTGTATTCATTAACTGATTAACTGACAGACTTAGGCACGAGAACACAGATTACTAGATGAAACCAGTGAACTCAATTCAAAATTTGTCTAATCTTGACATTGCAAATAACAGTAATTCATAGCTTTAACTTAAAGGCTGAGTAGATGGGAAGCCATATAGTAATGTCGATAATGTCATATGGTGATTATACTGCTGCAAAGTAAATATTTGTTTTTCTCTGAGCATGTCACTTGTCTTGTTATAATTTGTAGACTGTGCACTATGAAGTGTCATTGTAATGATGGATTGATTAATAAGGCTTTCCTCCTTGGTACTATGAAGCTTTACTAAAAATTTCTGTTTTTGATGCAGAATATGAAATTTAATTTTCAAAAAGAAAACCACTATGCGGAATTTTTGTGAGATCTTCAAGTTTATCATGAGCATCACTACATTTTCTTTATTTCTTTCTTTTTCAGGGCAACCACCTCAAAAACAAAACTGTAAATTCTTCATGAAATATGCTGGCACCAACTCTGAACTTTGGCATGGACTTATGTTTTTATTGTTTCTTACTGTCTGGAATATCATCTCTATTTTTAAATAAAACACAGCTTGCAGCTGCTGACATTGCCTATGTGTACTGGAAGGAAGGCCACAGAGTTCATGTCACATTAAAATGAGTACAGTGGTTCTCTTCCTTCCTTAGGTAACCTGTTGGCACCTGTAAGCTGAAAAGTACAATTTCTAGTGATTAGTTGCTTGCTTATAGGACTTGATGAACAGCCTCTAAGCTAAATCAGACATGACTTAATTATATTTGGCCTTTCTTGATTGCAATAGCAATATGTATCCTTCCAAGGGAAGAAAGAAACCCTTGTTCAGTTGTAGGTCAGTATGAAAAGCTGTAAAATTATACAAGCAACAGAATCAGAAGATGTACAGTCTAATGCAAATCATTGTAAAGCACCACTGATATATCACTGAAACATTTGTAATGGGCTATAAAAGTAACTTTGTTCATCCTGGTCCGTCACACTAGTAATTGTATATAAGGTTTTCAACCACTGTCCAGTGTGATTGATAAAAGTTGTTTCTAATTTTTCATCCTTTACGTGTTTCAGTCAAAAATACCATTTTCAGAAGGATATTATCAACACATATGGAAACTACTGTTACATGTCATACATATATATGTTATATCTTTTAACTAATATTAAGATGCACATTGATTTGTTAAAACATCTAAAAATTATTACAATTAGTCTGTTTACAAAATAATGTTCAATATTTTATTTTAAACTAGAACAAATTTGGTTCATTTTCCTTACACTTTTGTAATAATTTTAGATGTTATAACAAATCAATGTACATCTTAATATTAGTTACTATAGGATTCTGATGATGGTGTATAACACACTGAGGTATTGGGTTTTTGGACTTTATCCATCTTCCTGGTTTTAAGATAACTAAGAAAAACACGACGTTTCGGAATCTGGATCTGTTTCCATCTTTAGGTGAGGGAAAACACCTATTCTGTTGGGTCCCTTAGAAAGAGATAGCCTCAATCACTGGACCTAAGGGACCCAACAGAATAGGTGTTTCCATCACCTGAAGACAGAAACAGATCCAGTTTCCGAAACGTTGTGTTTTTCTTAGTTATCTTAAAACCAGGAAGATGGATAAAGTCCGAAAACCTAATATCTCTGTATCTTAATATCAGTTAAATGATATAACATATATATCCATGACATGTAACAGTAGTTTCCATAAGTGCTGATAATATCCTTCTGAAGATGGTTGTTTTGATTGAAACATATAAAGGATGGAAAATTAAAAACAACTTGTATCAATCACAATGGATGGTGGTTGCAAATCTTATATGTGGTTATAAAAGCCCTGTGTTTAATCCACATGCAGATGATTAAGAGTCTTCTGTAGGTATACGAAAACTCGAAGGACACACAGACTTGGCCAATAATATCAGGTCATGAAACTGTGTAAGACTGATCTTAAGGCATCTTCTTGGAGGTGGTGATAATGATTTGAACCAAAAATGAATATATAAGTCAATGCTGAACATTATCTGCAGTCTGAATTGTAATCCTGATGTGTTACTAATCTTCACTTAAGAAGGTACACAGACAGACTACAGGTGTTCCAAAACTTACATTTTCTTGTGCCATAGCTTAAGTGGTTAGTCGCTGGCTTCCCACTGCAGTGGCCCGGGTTTGATCCCGGGGTCTGGTCAAGTGGGATTTGTGGTGGACAAAGTGGCGCTGGGGCAGGTTTCTCCAAGTACTTCGGTTTCCCCTGCAAATCTTCATTCCACCAAATGCTCCAGAATCACCCTCACCNCATACACCTACTCCATTAGGTGCATGCAGAATGCGTTGTTCAGTTAGTGAGGTTACTTGTAAGGTTGGAATTATGGGTGGAGTTGATTTCAGTTTGTAACATTCTCACTCAAAGCAGTCAGCTTATGGTTATTGATGGTTGTTACTAACTGTCCTTAACATAGGTGATTAATTTTTCAGACAAAAGGTATGACACCTATCAAAAGAAACTTGTTTCTTTATTGGTCCGTATCCTGCTGAGAAAGATACAATAAAATAGTTTCACTTTGTGTAGTATTTAAATGTATATCAGCTTTAGGAAAATGATATAAAAATGTTTTAATTTCATAATATGTTTGTATGCATTAAAAGTTTAACTGTAAAGTTAAGGTAGCTGCGTGCAGTTGGAGCCCAGGCAGGGCGACTGAAGTGTCAGGCCGATACTTTTTAAGTGGTTGCAGTTGTAGACTTGCCATTTCTTATTAATTTGTAGATTTCCTAACAGACTCACTACTGTGATGAAGACTTGTTCAAACAGCGCTCTGAGAATTGCTTTCATTATGTAACAGTTCATCTGAACTGATCACAGTTCAGTTTAAGCAATACAACACAATTACTGTATTGTTGTAGTGTGCCAATATTTCTTGTTCATAAATGGAAGTACAGTCATCTACAAACACCAGTGTTACGTGTGAGATATGAGATATTCATGGTAGTGATCATGAGGAATTTGGAAGTGATGCTGTTTAGGTGGGTAGGAGTCTGCCACCTTCATAACAGTAGACTTCTGCTACATACATTCTATCACATCCTGACTTTTCAGCAGTATTATTGAGGATATGTAATGCTCCAAAATTTGTTTTAACCAGCACTGCAGCAAATATACTTCCTCCATCTTCGGGATGGGAAATTGAAGCTGAAGGCAGTGTGTTCCTCTGAAATGTCATTAAACTTCTACCAGCCTACACAGTATCATATCCCATATCATTAGCCAAATCAAACTGTTGTTTGTGGATGACCTGATTTCATGTTGTGACTGCAAACACAACGTGATGCTTCAATGAGTATTATTCATGAATGCTAACAAGTCAAACATCTGTATGTACGTAATCTAAATGTCTGATATCTGGAGTCATAAAGATGGAGGCACACATTCCACCAAAACGTTAGTATCCACCTATCAGACTGCAGCGTGGTGTGTTTCACCAGAACCCTGGTATCCGCCTGCCGACTACAACATGGGTGTTATAGCACACAGCATCCCCACCAAGGAACCTGATGATTATACAGCTTTCCAGTTTTGTAAGGAAAGTTACATCAAGGACTTGTAGCTCAGATGGGGGAACACAAATACATTTCATTTCATGCATCCTGTTGCATTATTATAGACAATTCTTTACTGGAGTCTGTCGTAACAAAACAACATAACAGTCAAGGTTAAAATTACCTAGCTACATGTTTCGTCTCTTTAAAGCCATCATCAGGCAAAGCACATGATTACTAATAATGTGTGAATATAATAATCATGTGTTTTGCCTGATGATGGCTTTAAAAAGCCAAATCATGTAGCTAGGTAATTTTAACCTTGACTGTTATGTTGTTGTCTTGTGACAGGCTCCAATAAAAAATTGAACACAAATACGTACAATATTTTTGTTGGAAGATGCTGGAAAGCATCCAATTGGGAAATCAAAAGTGGTGGAAGAAAGAAATTAAACCAGATCTTGACAAAACTGGTTATAAGACTGTGGATCATGATGTGTCCACTGGTGGGCTTTGGTATTAGCAACATTCATCCTGGAAGGGTATGCTGAAAAGTAATGCCTCCATAAGACAGTGGTGAAAATGTGGTTCTGTCATGCCACACTTACAGAAGTACAGGTACTCCTTGGTATGTGCAAGTTGGAATCATGTTTTGTCATTTTAATGCATTCAATTAATTTAGACTTATTAACACTTGCTTTATGAACTGCTTGCTGGCCAATCAAGAGAGGTCGGAAGAAGGGGGGATTAGGATGCTGTGCAGGCGTGGAGGAGGAACGCAAAGGGAGAAGAGAAAGTGTGGCCTACCTGATGTCATTTATGTCAATTCACCCCCTGTGACTCCTTTTGGGAATACAACTAATGCATTAATTGATGAATACCTGTACATCAAATATGTCAGCTGTGTCAGGATTGCAGAAGTGGTTGTTTGAGAAGTAATTGTATAGAATAGGGAACAAAGTTCAAGGAAGGTAGCGATTTCTCTTTGAATGAAATTGCTGTTATGGAAAAGAAATTGGGAGTCATTACTTTCAGCATGCCCTTCTACAAGCTCTGTCACCAGGAGAAGACATACACTTCCCAGTGAAATATCCCACATTGTGAAATTGGAAATTTCATAATGTTAATTGAAATCCATATTTAAATATTTGTTGCTTAACCTCCAGTGGCGTCCTGTGTACAGAGCACACTTGCCATTGTATCACATCACTACATGGAACACAGAATACGTATGGCAGCCGTAACTTCTGTCTCTAACAGTGATATTATATCAAAAGTGCCAGTTTTTTATACCTAGTTCAGAAAAAAATGCTATAAACTATTCATGTATGGGTAGTCACAATTTTCAATTTCCTGTGGCATGTAACAAATACTGTGTGTACATCTGAAATAAAATTACCCTGCTTTACCTTTTATCTACAGTGTAAACCTCACATTAAACACAAGCTATGAAGCTTCCATGGCAGCTGCAGTGGATGAAATCTGCTCTGGCTTTCAGCCATGTCAGTTGGTTAAGTATCACCGATGTCACACGGACATCTCTCTCCCTATTGTCAGACATGGCTGATAGCCCAAGAATATTTTATCAGCTCATGTCACAACTTTTTTCCTTTAAAACAGGCCTGTGAGGTCACATTGCTGCTTGTGTGTATGCTCCCTTCTCCGAACCTACTGATCCCTGACTGAGGTATCATTAAAGTATTCCTACAGGTAAGTCAGTAGAAAGGAAACCTAACATACAAACGAGTATTTCGCAGTAATGCTGCTGCTGCTACTACTACTAACAAGGATGACGGCAGTTTTCTATGGGTAATGAGAAAAGTCTTCAAGACGCACCATTTTACCACCCACAGTATTCCAGCCCCATCAGTAGATTTTTTCCTTTCATATTTCACCACACTACAGAAGCTGTGGATGAAGCTGAGCAAAATTTCTGCAATCAGGAATGAAATAAAAAAAAAACGATACTTTGCGTTTTAATGGTTTTCGGTTAGCAGGAAAACCCGATATTTTTTGTTTTGGTGGCCTTCGGTTATCAGGAAAACCTGGTACCTTGAACGACCTTCAGGAGCGCAGTATTGATCGCAAATGAGGAATTAAATTTAAAAATCCCGGTACTTTTTCGTTTTAATTGTCTTCAGTTATT